TAGGACCAGGGAGAGTCAATTGATTTTGAGACCCCGACCATAGTGCTCTCTGGGGTATGTATGGGGAAAGGCAGTCCCTCAGGTATGTCGGACACTGGCCATATAGGGCTGTCATGATCTGTGTAGGCCCTAAGAGACCAGTGTGGGAGCGGAAAGTAGACAGCCTACAATCACCATAAGGCTTAGCAACAGTTGTAGCCAATCCGTGTCCAAGGATTGTGTGAGGGAATGGAACTTAAGCTTTGTGGGCTTCCTTTAGTGCCCCTGGGAACAGCCCCTCAGAGAGGGACTTGTTGATAATATCCCTAAGGGCACCTCAAAACCCCTCATGGCCAGCTTTAATGAACCAGGAAGGGCACAGATCCAGAACGCACGTGGTTGGACGTACAGTCAAGAGCAATCTGTCGACTTCCTCCAGACTGAGTAGGCTGAATTGATCCAGGATCAAAATCGAAGACGTGCATGGAGCCTCGAGCTCACTCACTGTTTCAACTGTGGCAGGGAGGTTGCGGTGGAGCGCCAAGACTAGTTCGCAAATGCCTCACAGCCTATGTCCAATTCCCTAGCATTTGGTTTTTCCTGTGGCAAAACAGTTATGGACCGGATTGTTCTAAACGATTGGGCTGGGAGTGAGCTCACAGATGCAATCGTAGTTATAAAGTACTCTCTCTTCACGGCTTTGACTGCCATCTCATAGAATCTCACAAACATCCTATAAGATGTTCTTGTAGCTTCGTCTCGAGTTCGACACCGCCGTCTCTCTAGTTGTCTTAGCTCTCACTTCATATGCCATAACTCCTGGGTAAACCAAGGACTAAGCTTGAAGCAAGGGCACAGAGGGCACTGGGGAGCGATCTTGTTGATGGCCTCAGAGAGTCAGCTATGCCAATCCTCTACGAGCTCATCCAATGAGGTGCCAGGGGGCATCGGATCCCACAGAGCCATCTGGAGCCGCACTGGGTCCATGTGGCTCCACGGGTGAGCTAAAATACGCTCACCACCTAAACAGGGTCAGGGTGAGACATTCAGGTGGGCCCTCAGGGCATGGTGGTCCGACCATGGGACTGCCAAAGCAGTAACCCGGTGCACTGTTACCCCCGCTGTGAAGATCAAATCGAGCATGCGCCCAGTGAGTGGGGGTCGTTACATATTGGGAGAGTCCCAGTGCTGCCATGGACAACACTAGGTCCGCTGCGTGAATAGAGGTCACGTCATCAGCATGGACACTGAAATCACCCAGGATTATCAATCTAGAGTGTTCCAATGCCCAGCCTGATACGGCCTCCATCAGGGATGGCAGGCTATCGGTCAGTGCGTTAGGTGGTTGGTACACCAGCCAAATCGCCAAACTCTCCTTGGCCTCCCATACCATGCCGGCACACTCAATGCCCTTGATCTTCGGCGGTGGGAGTACCCTTAAGGAGAAAGCCTCCCGGATGAATAGAGCCACTCCTCCACCCCGCCCCCTAGTCTGCGATTGGTGCAGGACCAAGAACCCAGGGGGGGCAGTTGGGAGAGAGCCACTGTCTCCCCATCCCGCACCCAGGTCTCGGTCACGCACACTAGGCCTACATTCTGTTCTTGCAAGAAGTCTGTAAGGACCATGGTCTTGTTATTTATAGACCTAGTGTCACACAACACCAATGATGGGGGGGTTCATCATCCTAGCCCCCCTCGCCTCCTCCCCCTCCCCTCCTCTCCCTCCCCGTTCTTATCCAGCCGCTGTGCGCCTCCAGCCACTTACGCTGCCTAAGAAGTCGCCTCCGCCCCCCCGCGCCTGCCCACGTGTCCCGGCCAGCTTCACCGGTTCCTCCTCCCCACTCAGGGAGCCTGGAGCGCTCCACGGCGATCGGGGGGAGGGGGAGCAGAGGATTGGGGGAGGGTCCCCGCAAAACCCGTGGGGAGGCCGGGCCCCATGGGCCCCATGCGAGCTACGGGCCTGCCTCCTTCCCTTACTACCCTGCCTGCTCCCACCACTATACTTTCCCCTCCCCAGGAACACTGCAATCCCTTGGCCTGACATCATCACCCTTCATGGTCTCCGCAGACCTTCAGACCACTAGTAAGGCAGACAATGGACATTCAGTATGATGGACACCAGTGGTGGCTGCAACACATACTGCTGCTTGTTTACACAAATTTCATAACCTATCCTACCAAAACTCATCCAACAATTGATTGCCAATAGTACAAGTATCTGGCCAGTAATTCAAATAAAGGTCAGATAAAAAAGATTCTATATATATTTTTATTATTTTTTTCTAATTTCCTATCCCTCTATCACTAATTAATCAAAAAAGCAATCATAATAATTAATATGTTAGAACTGGAGATTGATGTGCCCTAGTTTGTGAGAATCCTATCCTTAGATCCCATCCATCTACTTTCAAGCATGGAGGTGAATTTTACAATATCTTGGCTGTGTAGAGTGTTTTCCTTGTCCCCAAAACAAAGAACTGCATTTAAATCTACCATTCGAAATTACATTACATATTCAATTATATTCTTAATTGCTAAGAGTAGTAATAAAATTTTGCTTCAATAAAACATGGAGTTAACTGACAGAATCCTTTTCCTGGGGTACAGTGTTATGTCAGAGATCAACAAGATATTGCATTGCATTACAATCAGTATTATGATATACTATCTCAAAAAAAGAAAAGAAAAACATCTAAATATAGGGAATGCATAGCCCTTCTTGGTGAGAATACATTTTGGTGAGAAAATTACAACACTCGGAACACCCCACCAGGACTTAACAGGGATATTGGTTTCTTATCCCATTACACATGTTAACTCATTCAATCCTCACGTACGTATTCTCGCCATGAGTCTTTTTTATTTCTCAAGTCTTTAGAAAGCTGTTTATGGAACCACCTTGGCTTCTTAGGCTCCTCCCATTTTTCCTTCTCATAGGAATAGTTTGTAATTGTGCCTTCAATATTTCGCTTCTAAGAAACTCCCATCCCTCTTGAACTCCCTTCTCCTTAAGTATTTCTGACCAGGCAGCATGGATTGTTCTGCTCCCTTGTGAATAATCAGCAAGAGACTGCATTAACAACAGAAAGAGCAGATACCACCTACCTGAAGAAACTGAAGGCAAAGCTGGTAACAGCAGTAACAACTTACAACTAATTTCCTCAGGCTCTTCATGGTGCCCTGAATAAGTTCCTGCCATTACACAAAAGCTTTCCCACCAATTTCTCCCCTCTGAATTACCTGAAATTATTTAGTGGACTTTACACACAGAACTACACACATTAGGAAAATTCAGTACAATTCTAAGCCAATTTACATCCTTTCAAGTCCACTGAGGTCAAAGGGCTTAGAAGGAGATAACACTTTTTTTTGCCATCAAGTTGTAGAGGGAGCTCAGAGGTTTAAATGATAGTCTATTTGTTCCATGAATGCCAATATTTTTGAGAAAAGGCATTTGGGGCTCCCTGAATGAAGTGGTAGAAACAGGAAGGTATAGCAGCCCAGGTTTCCATCACAATTAATGAGCTGACAAGAAGCCCAGTGAAAGGATTTTGATAATTAGCTGAAAGATGCTTTATTTTAATGAGATGTCAAGATGGGGCTGAAAAGATTTATTAAGCAGAAACACAGCTGAAGATCTCTGCAATAGAGATTTGAGTTTAGCAAACCCCTTTCTTTTGTTGATTGTTTCCAAAAGTTAATTACAACTTTTAATATTTTGTTTATAGCTGAGAATAACTGTTGTTTAAAGATTGTATTGATCTTTATATTTCTAAATGTTTGTGGGGGGAAAGTTAGCTAAATTCTTTACTAAAGCAAAACTCTCTTATCTTTAATAAGAAGCCTTGTTTATTAACCAAAGACTATGACAGATTTATTGATACACAGCTGTGAAACAAGGATTTAAAATTAAACTTCTAAGCACTTTTTTTAACAAGCAGAGGTAATCTATATCTTTAGCCAATTATAAGCAAGACTGAAAAAAAGCCAAGATGTTTCCAACGGAACAGATGTTCAGTATTAGAGATACCAGTCTTAAAGGTTTTAATTGCTACCTTTATCATGCAAAAGTATTTTAACAAGGAATAAATCATGACATTTGATAATCTAATTGGAGCAGAATGTATATTTTCTATACAGATAGAGCTCTCTAGTGGCCATTAGAAGGAGTTTGATTTTTCTAAAATGGAATTATCATTAAACTTTCATATATATTTTGCAAGAATGCTATATAAACAAGTATAAACAAGTATTTGTATTTCTTATATATGCATGTGTTAACAGAAAAACACTATATTAATAGCAGACAAAGTTAATTTTTGCTTATAATATGAATTTAAGCCAGTAAGTTAGAGATGGAAAAACTGGGAAAGTAGCCAGCAGAGATACTGTTGTCCAGAAGAGTACCATATTTCACTTTTTATAAGGAGATTTTGACAAGACACCTTTGGATGAAAGGGCAGTAAAAGTTGAAAAAAAGCCAGAAACACCTTGTCAAAAGTAAGATGGATGGTAGAGACAAAGAAAATCAAAATATGCATGTGTACGTGATGTCAAGGATGATGTAAAACTGGGAGGAGAGCCAAGAATATAAAAATTGGAACACAACTGATGCTCAGTAGACTTCTGAGCTAAACTTCTGGCTGCATGTTGTCCCTTATTCGAATAAAAAAATTTTACCCTCTTTCTGCCTGGACATTGTCTCACTGTGTGGCTTCAATTGGCTAGCAACACAAATCAAAGAACCTTAGAGCCCTGAGGGCGTTGCCTTCAAAGTCACAGCTGCCTTATGGCAACCCCATATGGTTTTTAAGGCAAGAGGTGTTCAGAGGTGGTTTGAATGCTACTTAGGATGGCACTATTAAGATTTGATCAATTTGTTCCGTAGTACAATGCATAGAACTGTCATTAAAATTATTTATTGAAAGGCACTACTATTGTAAGATATATAAGAACTGTTTAACAGCTATGTAACTGTATAAACTGAACAGCAAAACTGAAACCTTACCTTCATTATTCTATACAGAGAACGGCTACCAGCCTTCTTTTTCAAATTCCAGTTCAGGAACGTAGAATATAGTTCAGGAAGAAACAAAACCTTCCTGTGTTACATCATAGAGATCCAAAGCAAGGAGTCAAAGATATTACGGGGTTACCTGGAGGATGAACATGCAGCAGCTCATGCAGAAGATGCCTTCTTCAATAACATCCTGCCCACATGTGAGTCTGGTCTGCGCTACAGTGTCACCTGGTACGTCTCTTCTAGCCCCTGTGTGGCCTGTGCTGATCGGATAACTAAGGCACTGCAGAAAAATAAGAACCTGCATCTCTCCATCCTGGTTGGCCGTCTCTTCATGTGGGAGGAGCCTGAGATCCAGGCTGCCCTGAAGAAAATGAAGGCAGCAGGCTGCAAAATGAGGATAATGAAGCCTCAAGACTTTGAGTACGTCTGGAAGAATTTTGTAGAGCAGGAAGAGGGTGAGGAGGGAAAGGCATTTGAGCCCTGGGAGGACATTCAAGAGAACTTCCAGTTTTATGAAGAAAAGCTTGCTGAACTTTTGCAGTGAGATTCAAGTAAGTATTGGACTTTTAAGAACTGTATTTCTACTCTTTATGGCATAATTTCTCATAATCTAATCTGACAAATGAAAAGTAAGTAGATGGAAATTTAAGACAAAGCACAGGATGGTCAGGCTAGTAACTGCATTTATAATACTTTCCGTCCTAGTTTCAGAACAGCCAGATTTAGTCCTGCTTTGTAAATTACATGGGAGCTATAGGTGCCACAGAAAGCCCAACAGACCCCACATAGCTCCTCCAACATGGAAAGCCAATCCTCACAGGTTGGCCCAATTGCCATACCACTTTGAAGCAGTTTTTCCTAAATTGCACCAGCATATACAGCCCCTGGCTATGTCTCCTGCTCTATTTAAACTGGTAATTTCAAGACATTATGTAGCAGGCTTAATTAAATGCAGGTTTCAAACAGTAGTGCCTTCCCTGCAGTACAAATTCAGTGTTGTGAATCTCATCTGTTAAAACAGGCAACACAGCATTTGTTTTTCACAATTTAATGTTGCACAAACAGGCACATAGCACCATTGAAATGAAAATCCAGCAGTGTAAAATGGAAGATTTGTATTCACTTACCGTGAAGCTTCCTTCTCGGTGGTCCAGAGTGGGGCAGTCCTTGACTCCTTACTCCTGGGAAAGCACCTCCCCCTTCCGTAGGCAGGGCCGGCAAACTTTGATCCCAGAGGGGAGGGGCTTATCTTCTGATCCCCAGTCATATCGAAAGCCACCTCCGAGCTGCTGTAAATCCACTTAAAGAATAACTCCTTCCCCCTCAGACAACTGCGGAATACCATCACAGCCATGGGCTTAAACAAATACAAACCTGTATTTTAACCATTAGAGCAAACAAACAGCAACAGTCCACCACATCACGTAATCAGTTAGACCATATTCATGAACAGCTGAACCACTGCAAAACGTAAAGGACCGGAAGTCGTGTCCATCAAGAGAGGATGGGTAGGACTGCCCCAGTCTGGACCACCAAGAAGGAAGGTTCACGGTAAGTGAATACAAATCTTCCATTCTCCGGTGGTCCAGGAGTGGGGCAGTCCTTGACTCCTTACTCCTGGGACGTAAAAAAGCAGTGCTCCCCCTGGGTGGGTCACACAACTTCCGGTGCCTACAG